TTTTTTTTTTTAACCTACAAATCTTAGTTACATTTCTAGAATCAATTTTTAGATACAGTTCTGGACACCCTCTCCACCCGCCCACCCCCCAAATAAAGAGTGGGACGCTCAAAACCTTTCCTCGAGTCTCTCACTAAAGAAGTAGCACACTTTCCTATTCAGTAGCTTAAGCATCCCTCGTATCCGTATCTTTCAGCCAGGCATACCTACTTACCTTAACAAATGTCTTCTTGGACTGAAAACCCGGTTTCTCAAATCTACCAATGCCGACTAACGTTCCTTTGAATGAATAAATACTGTCTTGCCCCAACAACTAGCATTCCTAAGAACCTTTCATTATCTGATAGGGGGGGTGGGGGGTGGGTGCTCTCCTCTTGGTACCTGATCCCACTCCTCTGCCTCACTGATCTGGATCTCCTTCCAGTGCCATCAGACACACGTTTCTTCCCAGACTTGGCTCTTCCTTCTTCTTACCTAGCCATCCTTTAAAAAGCTAGCACATACTAAAATCCCCACAGCTGTTTATTCTCTTCTAAGCGTGCATACACACACACATAGTAATCCTCTTTAGACGGGAAAATAAACATAGCACATACCCTGCACACCACTGCAACTGTTCTTCTATGTCCATACTGTTAGAATCTCTAGAAGAATACTTGCTTTATGCATCCTTCTGCAATGCAGCTCTGTTAATTCCGGAAATTTCCACGTAAACTCGGGTCTGTCGGTTGCCATGGAAACTGTCTGCTTCCTGGCACTACTAACAAAATGAGTGTCTTTGCTTACATCTAAAATGAGGTAAACGAAAACTGAAAAAAGAAAGATGTCCACGAGAATTGCTCAAATGTTCCAAGTAAAAATTTCCATGTTCTGGTGTTCATAATAAAGGGAAGATAGTAGAGAAACCTATAGAATTTTGAAACAGTACTGATTTCTGAAGTAGGAAGAAATGTTATTATCACCAAGGGTATGAACAATACTAGAGAAAGCAAGACAAATGCTCATGTTTGCATTTTGCTGCTACAAAGTACATACTATGAACCTATCCTGTGTCAACTGCACACACTATCAAAATAATACTGGGGGCTGCCCTTCTCCTAGGAAAGGTTAGGAAAGTCACCCTACATCAACAAGTTACCTGTCTCGTTAAGACAGTCTTCCAGTAAGAGTGAAAGCCATGCACCCCTCCTCCTCAAATAGATGACAGAATGGAGGAGTTAAAGTGTATTTCAGTGGTCATGACCAATAAGGAATTCCTCCTAATCCTCTCAGAACAGTAAACAAAGCTGACCCCAATGCCATCACTACCACCACCACTCGTAGAAGGATGCTTAATTTCACAGCACACACTAGTCACTTACTTTCTTTATTGCACTTTTATCTGACCCTCATCCTCTAACCAAGTTAGAAATTGGATTTCCTCAGGGCTTAGCCCTAGACTCAATCCTTTCACCAAGATATACTCTCTTCCTAGGCAACCTTACCTAGGCAACAACGATCAACTTTTGGTCTCCAATCTAAACCATCTCCTCCAAGTACCAGACTCGTATTTCCAACTATCTTCTTGATGTTTTTAATCAAATACTTCTCAAGCATCTCAAATTCAATAAGTAAGTTGAACTCTTGTTCTTCTATTTCTACTCATCCCCAGACACTACGCAGGTAATGGTCCTCAACTCAGTAATGACAACTAAGCCCATGATGGCAAGCCAGAAATTTGAAGTCACTCTGATTATCTTTCCCTGTTCACCACCCATATTCAATATTTTTACTGATTCTATGTCAAAGTCTCTTTGACATCTATCCACTTCCTTTTACCTCCATTGCAATCAACCTGTTGATACTATCAGCCATAATGTTTCAGCTGCACTAGCAGCCTTGTTCAGTAAAATTATTTGCCATTAAGTCAGCTCCAATTCATGGCACCCACATGGATGACGGTTCAATGGCTGATTCTTGCAAGTGGTTTGCTGGGATTGCCTTCTAAGGCTCCTAGGTGCACCCAAGTTTGCAATTTGGGTTGGAGGTCAGTGAATTACCACCACCCTTCACACCACCCAAGTCCACTGCCACTGAGTCAATTCCAACTCACAGCAAACCTACCGACCTGAATATCAGGCGAGGCACCTAATTTTACCACAAAAACTGCATTAAAAATGTGCTGAAAACTCATCTTATATACGAGTATATACAGTATATACGAGTATATACAGTATATAAAGTTCCCAAGGCTTTGTGCATCTTTATAATACAAGACACCCTCATGTTTCTCCTGCAAAGCAACTGATAGGTTTGAACCACCAACCTCCTGGTTAATGGCTCTATACTTAGCCCTCAGTGCCACCAGGCCTCCTTCACATTCTGTGATTTCCCTCTAACACATACTGTAGTGTATCTGCAATACGTCAATGACAGCCTTTCTTGCTGAAAGCAAAGAGGACTTAAAGCACGTACTTATGAAGATCAACCTTCAGTATGGATTATATAGCATAACGCTAAAATCTTCATAATTGGACCAATAAACAACATCACGACAAATGGAAAAAAGACTGACATTGTTAAGGATGTCACTTTGAGGATTAAAGTATGCCTGGCCCAAGTCATGGTATTTCCATGGGAAGCTGAAAAACAAATCAGAAATATTGAAAAAGAACGGATGGATCTGAATTATGGTGATGAACATTAAATATACAATGCCAGAACACACACATCTGTCTGGGAAGAGATACAGCCAGAAGGTTCTTTAGCAGTACAGATGGTGAGATGTCATCTCAGGTACTTTAGGTATGTTATCAGGAGGGACCAGTCATGGTTGGTTGAGCAGGTGGTCATCAAAAACGAGAAAGGTTCTCAATGGGATAGACTGAGCCCTCTGTTCTAGTCTCTCTAACACAGCAATTAGTGTGAGGATACACAGGACCTGACGATGTCTCATTCTGTTGCACACAAGATCAATGTACGACAAAAGTGACCCAACAGCGCCTAACAACAATACCATACATATTCCACATAGCAGCCCGAATAATTCTTCTAGGGCAGTGGTTCTCAACATGGGGGGCGCCACCCCTTTGCGGGTCGAACGACCCTTTCACAGGGATCGCCAGATTCTTAACAGTAGCAAAATTACAGTTCTGAAGTAGCAATGAAAATAATTTTATGGTTGGGGTGGTCACCACAACATGAGGAAATGTATTAAAGGGTCGCAGTATCAGGAAGATTGAGAACCACTATTCTAGGGTATTTATGTTACTCATCTGTTTAAAACACCTCCAGAGATTTCCACTGAACTTTGAATTCATCCTATCTCTTTACCTAAGAGGCCTTATATTACCTAGTCAATATACCCTTCCACCCTTATCTTAAATCACTTTTCCACGTATTCAAAATAATATTCTTTTAGTTTCATGAAGACGGTACATTTGCATTTTGGTGACTTCAAATACACACTTTACTGATACTTGTCTCTATTTGGAAGATTGTTATCGGTCCTTCACCTAAATCCACTTACTGAAAGTCTATTCCTGTTTATACACCTTCAGTGGCTACTCATTCACTCTCCTCCACCACTACCTAATCTTTAACCTTCTCTGTAAGTCTCTCATAACATCTGGTCCTTTTACTTCATTTACCCTATTTATAATTATATAATGTCTGTTTCACACTAAATCTTAAGCTATATAAGTAGCAATTCACATCTCTTTTTTCCAACATGAAATTAAATGTCCAGTGGGCAATAGTAACTCAGTGGTAGCATTCTTGCCTTCCATGCAGGAAACCCAGGTTCAACTCTAGGCCAATTCACCTCACGTGTAGCTATCACCACTTGTCAAAAGAGGTTTGCTTGTTTGCTATGATGAAAAGCAAGTTTCAGCCGAGCTTCCACATTAAGACAACAAGGAAGAAAGGCCTGGCAATCTACTTCCAGAAATCTGCCAATGAAAACGTAAGTTCTGCAGCCAGTCATAGAGATGCTGGAAGATTGGGCTGTGTTTTGTTCCGTTGTACAGAGGGTCAACATGAGTTAGGAATCAACCTGACAGCAGCTACCATGCCATCACCACCACCACCATTACTACCGCCACCCCACCAACAACATATTCCTAGCAGAGGAGAGGTATGAAACATATTTACTGAAAGAATGACAGAGACTGTATTGAGCTACTTTAGTTTCTGACATGAATCAATCATAACCCTTTGATTCACCCTGTTCTCTCTGAAATATGCCCTAAATTCCTTTTTGTAAAAAATTCAATCCTAAAAAGCAGGGGGTAACCTTTTCTATTTGACTCCGGAAGCTCCTCATCGTCAGGAAAGCAGTGAACAGTAGCCATCTGTCCTGTGAGCCTGCAGTGAAGTGTGTACCAGTGTTTCTCAACAGGATGATTCTGTACTCCAAGATATGTAGTA